TGCCAGTTTTGACTTTTGCCGGATTTAGTTTCGACTTTTGCCATTTGCCAAAAATAGTTTTGCCTAACAACAGTAGGGCTAAATCTTCAGAAATATTAAAACCTGAAGTGAATTCGGCCATAACAATAGGAGTTACACCAGTTTGGAAAACATAAACAAGGCCATCATTACAAGCAGATTTCAATCGACTGTAAAATTGTTTGAACGAACTCTCTATTACTTCAGTTCTGCTTGGAGAATTTTTATGATGAGCAATAAGAAGTTGTAAAGTGTATTCGTTGTTAAGAGCTTTGGTCATTCCAGCGTCATATTCATCAATAAAAACATAGAGCTAAAGAAGAAAAACATTAGTTTTCTGTTTCTTCTTTGAGAGTAGATGGTAACTAAGCAAGAGAAAATACCTTGTGCTCGCTCAATTCTACCGCATTCAGTAACTCCTTAAAATTCACCAAAGCGCTTTCTTTTTTATCCAAAACTTGATAATAATCCTTCAACTCTTGTCGATATCTGCACATAAACTTTGTCATGTCTACGTTCAAACTTTTATGGAAGTCCTCTTTGAAAACTTCAAATGTTGAATTGGTACGAAGTCCAGAAAAATTGAATTTAAGAACAAGGAATGAAGATGCTAATGGTGTGGGATTTTTCCGATGTACAAATCGCCGAAAAGTTGTTCAAATTTTTTTCCTTTGTTTTTTACGTCGTAATAAGAGAATAAAGTAGAGAGAAATAGTGTTTTTCCGAAACGACGAGGGCGCAGAGAGAGAATAGCACGTGCATTAAGATATTCGATTTTAGTTATGAAGTGAGTTTTGTCTAAATAATAGCCTCCTTCCTGTCTCAAATCTGCAAACGATCCTGTTGACAATATTTTGAGAGGCTTCGAAGATGCCGATACCAAATCAGCTTTTACGGGTAACATTTCGGAGTCATCAATCGATTGACTTTGAGGTTTTTCATAGTTATGTTCATCTGCCTTCAACCTCTTCCGCTCTCGTTCCACTGAATCAAATTCCATATCGGAATATAATTGGAATCCTCGACGTGCTATCTGAAGACCACGTTGTATTCCTTTCTTCTAAATAATAGGTTCAACAAGAGGAGAATAAGATGCTATTCTGACACAATAAAACACTCAATAAATCGCTTGCCTTTTCGACTTCTGACTCCAAGTCAATAAAATTGGATTCTAATATTAGTGATGAAATTCGTCCCTTTGTTTCCCAAATTTTGATGTTCTCCGCGTCATTAGTACTTTCCTACTAAAAAAAAATATAATCAATCAATCAATTAATCTGTATATATATTTATATAGTATTATTTGTCAAATTTCAGATTAATCATGAAGGGAAGAGAGTTCACAAGAGCCATGGACACTCGGACCTCGCCTGATGGACACTCGGACCACAGGTTTAGCTCAAAAGAACATCCCTTATCTGAACACTCGGGCCAGCCCAATGTTTCCATGACCACGCACACGCGGTGCTACCCGGGTTTTACACGCGGAAAAACCATAACAACGCTCGGATGCTGGATTAGTCATAGAGTACACTGGCACCTACACATAATAATTTCAATAATTATACTTCATTTCTTTCTGCAGATTTTTAATGCTATTATAAGCGGGATGTGTGTTTGCGTATATTTCTCTTAAGCACCTTAACTCATCAGCCAAGGCAGAGTGCGAATTTTGTTTGGTAATTGAAGAAGAAGGTGGTTGATTCCCGATCCAATATATGTCCCAATCATTTAAGGGTAGGGTGAATGTAGATCATTTTCTATATAAGTATATCAGCTAAAAAATTTTACGCAAAAATTAAACACATGTTACATATAAAAGTTTTTAAAAATACAATATTTTTTCGTAAAATTTTTACAGTATATACATTAAACCCATCTAATTATAATAATAGAATTTGAACCTTTGTTAGATTCGAAAAAAATATACTTACATATATCATTAATTCTTCCTAAGTTAATCGAAATTTGCCTAAGTTACACAACATAAATTACATATGATCATCACCTGATGTTATTGTAAAAAATTTAGTAACGTGATTACTATTTAAATGTAGATCATTTCACCCTACCCTTAATTTCCTCCAGGTACTAGGATCTCGATCCCAATAATCTGTATGGCTAAGGTTTTATAATCACCAAAGTTTTAAACGTAAAATAGAAATCGGTACAAAGTAATAAACCCACCCGGATATTTCAATTTTAAACGATCCCCTTTTGACATATACTCCATACGAAGAAAAAATTTTTTTGCGTGTAATTAAAAAAATGGCCAACAAAATCTATTAGAACAGATCTTTAAGCTTAGATCGTAATACAGCATACATTTCACATGACGTTGCATATAAAACATTATTTTTTTCTGTAATTTATTTTTATTTACCGCATTAATAAACTTATTTGGTATATTTAATCGTGTATTTCGGGAAAGCATAGCAGAAGTTCGTTTTGATTGGCTAAAATTTGAATAAATATGATTGGCGACGATCTTTTATTTATACAGTCAATTGTAATTTTTAAAATACTTTTATTAGTAAAAATCGTGACGAAACAACAAACTTAAACAACTTATTTTTCACCTTTAAGCCTACTGTTTTTTAATGAGAGATACAGTAAGATACGGAAGTTCAAGAAACTAGCTGAGAAATGAATATTTTGCAAGGTCGGAAAGGTGGTTCGGCGATCTAAGCAAATAGTAAGTGAAATTGTAAGACTTTGTCTTAACTAGACTCGTTTACCTTACAAATAAAAAAAACAAACTATTTTGAATTACTATTCTAAAACTTTTTATTGTATTTATTTAGGTTACGAATATAGTTTATAA